TAAAATCACATATAGCTAAAACATTCTGATAACATTTACCCTTTCCTCTTCCTCTGTAAATAATTTGTTGATTAGCTGGAATAACTGCATGTACTAATGTCCCGTCGAGTGCACCTATTGCACCCTGCAAATAAAAATAATAATTTTATGTTAATAGTTATGAATTTTTTTCTTACGGAGTTATATAATAATTTTATAGCACATAATACCTTAAAATATTTTTGTAACTTTTTATGAGCACCAGAAATTTGTGGATTTGAATCAGAGGTTGTAGATGATATCATCTCTTTTGCAAATAACATCATTGCTTCAAGAACCTCATGAAAATATTTGTGAACCATTTGCGAAGAATGTTGAAATCTTCTCTTCATAACCACAAAACGCTCATTATGACCTATAATGGTCAGGAATATTGCTATCTTTTCTTTGACGGAAATATATTTGCTATCTATGAGCCAACCTTTATGACTAAAATGCTGACATAGCCGAACATATACTTCACGAGACATGCGCATCAGTTCTAAACACTGTCTACTAGAGCCGGACAACAATTCTTGTGTGTACTTTTCACCTGATAAAGATGAAGTTAAATTTTTATTTCTTTGGATATTCTTGAGTCTAAAATGATTTTTACACAAATACAAGATCATCAACGCTAATACTTGATCCTCAATGTCCATGTCAAAACTGTTGTAACAAAGAGAATGTGTAATACACAATAGTAAGCATACCACATCATGTATTTGAAAAATATTTAAAAGTTACATGATCAAAATAAATTAATTAATAAAACAATACCACGCAAATAAAACATACTTCAAATAAGACATTTCAAAAAGGTATATCACAGATTAAAAATATTCCACGAGCATAATATAATATTAAAAAGTTAAACAAGCATAATCGATAATAGTTGGAAAAACCAAAGAAGGTTTCATATTATTAACGTCTAATTAATAATCTAGCTAATTAGCAAAATCAAATAAGCCCCATTTTTTTTCTCATGGCCTTAATCCAATTCTCTAATTTGTCGACCTCGGTAATGTTCATCCATGCTTTCCTGTAGCTGTCACCTTCACAAGGTATACTAACAGTTGCACTGTATAATGGTTCTTCCCATCCAAGTTCTTCTAGTTTTACCATGCACTCTTCAACGTCAGGCCCGCTATTTTTTTTAACCAATAACTCTAATGCATTACTCATCTTCTCTTCAATGTCCAATTGAGATGATGCGATTTTTTTTTCTTTCCCAAATGTTTCTTTTCAATTGGAACTGAAGACTGAGATGGATAATCAGTAGGAGCTCCATCATTCTTATTACCAACTAGATCTTCGATGCTATCAAGTGTATCTACATCTATAGTAGTAGCTACAGAAGAGACACCAGGGCGGGGATATGTACAACTTGGACTCCAACCATGAATTCCTATTGTAGTAGAACCCTCAAAAAGTTTTGTACAAAGATCTGGGAATGGTAGAGGCGAGGTCTTCAATGCCTTTGCTTTTGGATGAGCCTATAATAAAGAGATTTTTAATATGCATGTCAAACTTTTTTCTTTATAGAAAAGAAAAAAGGAAAAATTAAATTACTAGATAATGAACTAACCTTTATGTACTCATCCCACTCACTATTAGACATTAGAATGGTATTGGTTGTTGGGTCATAAATATTGCCGGTCTTTTTGGTTATTGGCAACCAAGCTTGATACTTTTCTTTTAGATAATCATAATGATTCTTCATCTGCTTTTGTGTGACGCTAAAGCCATGAGAAGTCTCCAACACTAGTCTAACTTTGTTCCATCAATCTGCCTTTAAACTACTTCCAAGTCTCCCGTTTAAGGATATTTCTTGGATACAACTTTCTAAAAAGGTTTTTACTACATTCATATTTTTCCAACTTGCTCTTGAATTTTCACTAGATTGTTCCTTAGCTGAAATATAAAATAGTAATGATTATAGAAAATGAGCTGATGAGGCAAAATGAAGATATTATCAGCTTAACAGACTTTATCTTTTTTTCTCCAACACAAAAGATCTGATTATTACTTATGCCAGAGGTAAGGAAAGGTGTTCTCATATAAAATAAAAACATTAAGCAGAAGTAACTTGAGAAAAGACCCTCTGGCATAATATTGTTGACAAAGTCAGGGAATAATGGACAAGCAATATAAACTCTAGTCTGTGTCACACAACAAAAGTTCAGATATTTTGATTTGGTATTGGCAAAATGCAGCTCTTACATTCTTTATATAGTTCATAACATAGTATGCGAGTTTCTACTTTCAAGTTGTGATTGTAAGCGAGTTATATTAATTATAACTTCTTTTTATATTTCTACCCCATATTGATATTGTGTATGGAAAGATTGGGAAAGGGGGGGTTCCTTCTTCTTAGTTTTTCACAGTTTCATTGTTTCTTTCTAAAAAAAAAATCAAAAACCCCTTTGCTAATACAATCCAGAGATAAACCTCAAAAGTTTCATAAAAATTTCTAATTTTTCACTGTAGAACTAACTATCAGAGAATATAATTGAAATCTTGAAACTCAAACAAGTATTATACAAAATAATAGGCAAGGGAATTGGGAATCTCATAAAATAATGGCAAGAAATTCTAAAGGTTTTAGAACTTACCTGTTGAAGAGAAAACAAATTAGAGTAGATGATGATAGATGGAGAGTGAAAGAGGCGTGAAATTTATGCAAAGAAGATGGAGAAGAGAAGCGTGAAACTTTGCTAAAATAAAGCAGTCGTTGAGCGAAACTTTGCGAAAATAAAGTCAGTACCGTTTTTTCAAGAGTCTGAGCGACAGTAGGACTTTGTTATGGATCTACCCGAATAAGATCTTTTCAGACCTATTAAGAGCTTTTAAAAGAGAAAAAACAAATAGACTTAATGGGCTGGATCTGAATAATTAGAGTTAAGATTTAAAAAACAAATACACTTAATGGGCTAGATCTGAATGATTCAGATTCAGACCTCCATTAGGTGCAAACAAATGAAGCCTAAAACAACTATTAAATATATATTCTAGAAACTATTTTTGGGCTTGTTTGGGCTGCTGAAAATTCCTCTCTTTTGGGGAAAATTTAGGCCTCATTCCATCTCCTCTTGGATTTTAATTTGGGCCTCAAAATAGTTGTAAGACTTGGCCCAAAGATCCTCCTTGTGCTGGAGCTCTTCTTCTATTATAAGACACTTTTTAATTGCCAATTGAAGCCCATTAAGCTTGTCTTGAAATTTCTTTGTTTGAGACCTTGTCATGGGCCTTCTTGGAGCTTCCAGAGCTTCATCCTTCTCCTTTAATGATGTTGAGCTGCCATGAATGTTATCAGTTACCCTCCCAGAACTAGAAAATACGTTAACCATCTTTGCTTGTTTATATATAAAGAAGATATAAGCACAGAAGAGTCGTGAGTAGAAGAAGTCACCAGAATCGGTGAAAGCAAGAATACGGGAGTAAAGGTAATGAGAGCAAGAACTCTGAATGAAGAAGGAAGAAGGGGACACAGGGATTCAATATCTAAGGGTGTAAAGAATAAGGCAAAGGGTTTCATATCCCTATTTATGAGAATTCAGGCATCAATACAGCAAACCGTCAATGCCTAGCGCATGTATCGAAATGGCAGATGCACGGGAAACGACGTAAGGCATCGGGAAAACGCGCAATAATGACGCATAATGTCATGATGTCATTCTGAATCGACGTGACCCTAGGTTGCGGCTCACAAAGAGCCACATTGCTACCACGTCTGAAACCCTACTACTCGACCTGTTCGCCTAAACTTCTCAACCATAACTAACAGAGTCCGCTCATCGAGGTCGTCCAGGGTCGACCCCGATGAGCGGAGGGACTAACTGTTTAGGTCAAAATCTGCCCCAAGAGAATTTAGCACGAAGTGGTGTTATGGAAAATGATGTGGCTGAGGTCGACTAGTAAATAATGGGGCTCATAGCCGGGCGGTCAATAACGACCGAGGTCAAGTATCAAGAACAGAGTACTAATAATAGGATTTTTAAGGGAATATTTCATTGAATATTCTCTGTACTTGTACTTTTAGGGTTGACTGGGGATATGTCCCATATAAATAGAAAAAGAGATAAGGGGAAAGGACATGTAATATTCATTTGATAAGAACACTTTTTGATAAGAAGACTCTCTCTCTCCAGAAAAGATACAAACACTACCTTTTTACTAAGATTCTACCATCCATTATTCCATACTTTTCCATTCGATCCAAGAATAGTTCCAATATTTTAGGATTTGTCTGTACTCATCATTGTCAGAAAGAAGAATCATGCACCTCATTCAATATTGGGTGAGTCATTCTCCTTATTACATTAATGCCATTTACGGTTATTTATTACTTGATATTCTTCTATCATTGCTCAAGTTTCTTGGAATATTAAATGAACACTGTATTTAATTCCTCACAGATGGTGCCAAATTGTTTGACCAAAAAGTATAAACCTTCGGTTAAACTAATTAATCTCGTGTTAATTAGTTCTAAATCTAGAAGTATTATCATTGACTAGGTTTAACCCCTTATTACACAAAATTAATTAATTTAACAGAAGGTTTATACTTTTTGGTCAAACACCCGTCACTCTAATAATTGTCCAGTTTGATTCTTTAACATTTCATGCGAACACATAAACAAACAAAACGATTCAAATATATCTTTAAATTATCAAATGGTTTCTATATACATTATTTATATATTTTTGTAGTTGAAAAAGAAAAAAAATTAATTTTGATATTTAATTATACTTTAAATTTTGATACCATTGAGTAATTATTTATAAACTTTTCACTCTCCTAGAATTTTTTTAAATCTTTTTTAAGGTATTTTAATCCATAATTAGAAATTTGTTAACTTTTTATTACAACACAAAACTGCTTATATTGTTGCTCATAAATACATTTTCTGAAAAAGATATTTTTAACTTACAAAAAATTCGACCAAAATATACTTTTAATTCTCAAATTATAATCCATTATAACTTCAATGTAACATGTTTGCAAATGAAACAGCCATTCCAGTCCAAACTCCTAAAAACCCTAGTACAAGAGTAGGAGGGGAAACCTAAATTATTGGAGATTGAATTGATAAATGGATACCCAATTTCGTGAATTTGCCTCTGATACTATGGAGGGAATACATAAGGCTTATCGTAGTGCGATGTCTCAGGATCCAAGTAGCAGCTTAAGTTCCATTTCTGCTGCTTTTCAAAAGCCTACCGTTAAATCTTCAGGCTCTGTTTCTGTTTCTTCCGCTGATCAGTCACAACTCTTGCTTACTCGCTCTCCCACGTAATTTCTCCTTAAGTTTCTCAGTTTGCTCTTCATATATATGTACTTTTTTATAACTGTGGTGTCCGAGCCAATTTGCTCAGTTTATTCTTTATATTGGTGAGCCAGCCTGAGGGTCTATCGGAAACCGTCTCTCTGCCCTTCCAGGTAGGGATAAGGCTGCATACATCTTACCCTCCCAGACCCCACTACACTGGGATGTTGTTGTTGTTCGTAAGCCGAGGGTCTACCGGGACCGGCCTCTCTACCTCCACAAGGTAGGTAATGTAGGTAGGGGCAGAGGTAGAGGCGGATCTGGTATTTCTAGTACATAGTTGCACTACTTAAAGAAAAGGAGGAAAAACTATATTAAGTGGGAATTGATCCCTATTCCTCTTGATAAATAACTCAATCTTCAACCAAGTGCACCATGAGTTCCAACAGCTAATAATATACCAATTCTAAAAAACACGTATATAAAATATCTAATTTTGCGGAGAGACCATGGGTTCACCTGCCCCATAATCTCCCCTTTAAATTCGCCCCTGGTAGGGGTAAGGTGTGTGTACACAATACCCTTTCCAGACCCTACACCGTGGTAATACACTGAGTATGTTGATGTTATTGTATTCTTTATATTGGCTTATTTTATTTTATTTTTTACAATTTACCCTGTCTAGCGTGATGTTAATCTCGTATCTTTGATAATCTTTAGCATCTTATTGCAAGGAATGTAACAAATGGAAATGGGTGATGCTCTTATGGTAAAGCTGTATATCTTTGATTGCAGACAAGCAGTATCACTATGGACTTGTTCAAAGCTCTGTGCCATTTGCTTTGTTGCTGGAGTAGTTGTTGGTTATACACTGAAGCGCCGTGTACGCCGATGGGCTTCCAAACTTCTCAAGGGATTGAAAGACTAACAAGTTTTGGATATTTACAGTTTCTTATTCTAATTGCGTTTTCCATGTAGGTAACACATTGTACTGTTATTTTCAATGATATACAGAAGTCTTTTATGATTCTTTGCTGCACAAGTGCTGAATGTATTTATATTCACTGTTTCCCTGTGTTTGATGCAAAAAAATTATATCAACTTTCTTCAGTATTCTTTATTGACAGCTCTCATCCACACTGTAATTTCTGATATGTCAATGGACCTTTTTGACAACATAAGAAAATATAACAATTTATAGAAACAAATACACGAGACAATTTATTTATCTTGCAGTAAGAAAATAATCCTTTCCATCGCTGGTTAGGACACTTGATAAATGTAACTGCCTTGTAGTAGCTTGATTTCTCATGTGCTTACCCCTCATAAAGCAGCATCACATCTTCTTCCTTTTTTTTCTTTCTTTCCATATTACTTCCTTCTCTTGCGCTCTTTTCTTTAATTATCCTCTTCATCCTTACACTTGCTGCTTAGTGATATTCACACATGCACTGAGGATGTGATATACCCTTCTTCACACCCTGCACATAGGTGCATAGTAGTGGGACAATATTGTTCCTATGTTTTTGATAGTGTAACGACAGACATGATTGCTTTCTTGTATCAGTAGGAAGATCTTTTTGTGGAGATCCCAAAAGGACAAATATTTACATTTTCCCATAGATAGAACTCTACTCTTTTGATTTCTTTCTCTATTATAACTTGTATGATATATGCATTTACATTTCTCTGAATCAATGTGTATTGGTACATGCATTCCTCTTAATCTATGGACAATTACAAAAAATAAAAAGAAAAAAAAGTATACCGTGTTGGTTATTTGCGAAATTTGCTATTTCAAAAGTACTCCTTGTGGAACTCAAATCTTGTGGATGTCTTGTAAGTCAATTCTTGTGATAGCTTCTTCAATTCCTTTGCCAACGCAGGCAACCCACAATAGAAGACTCCTGTGAATCATGTGTAACTGTGTTATTAACAAATCTAGCTTGATTGATTAATACTCTTCCTTTCTTTTTAGCTCTTTTTTCCTTCCCCTCTAAAATGCAAAATGTTACCACGGAAAGGCCCCGTTGGTTACTTCTTCCTTCAATGGTCACGAAGAAACTAACATAGTTTCTCGTATCAGCTTGATCTAACTGTATGAGTTTTTTTTGAAGTTTAAAGAACACATTTTTCATCTCATCTGTTACTACCTGTTTAGTTTCCTTCAAAAGATAAGTTAGGATTTATAGTGCCATACTGGTCGTTATTGTGATCTATATTTTCTGTCATTAAAGTTCCGCTTCAAGTTTAATCTGTTCTATTTTATATATAAAGTTTCTTTCTTCGCCTCTATTATGTGATAATTTCCATGGGCAGGAGGTTTGGACATATTGGTGAAGTGTCCTTTAGCTCTAGAGGTGAACAAATAGGCTCAGGTAACACAACACTTCTTGGAACCACGTATGCTTACAGTTTATCCAAGTTTAGGTTGTAGAAATTCTTTACCTACGGTGGAGTACGGATGTTTTGAAGCTATTTTGCTGAATACTTCTTTCCATTTGGGCCTTGCAAAATGCGTCCTTACCTGCAGTAGAATTAGTTTAATTAGTACTAGCCTATGTTGCTCTGACTCACCGAAAATATCGCCGGATACGTGTCGGATCCACCAAAAGTAGTGTATTTTTGGAGGATCTGACACGGCTGCGGCAACATTTTGGAGAGTCCGCGCAACAATAGGTACTAGCTGGAGAACGATTCACTTCAAGTTTGTTTCTCTCTATTCTGTGTTGTGGTTGAAGACTTCTCATGAAATTTAGCAGCTTTCGAGTAATAGAAACTTTCTCTATCTAGAACATGGCACTCTTTAAGCTAAGCTGAAAACTGTTCTTTCTTATATGTTTCTTTTCCATTGCTCTTTTAGAGGGTTTGGTTGAGAGTGGTGATGGATCATACCTGAGTGCCAGATAGGATGTCAACACCATGTTTTGCATGGTTGAGCGCCTGGACCATAGTGATGAGAGTTGACCTGGCATCGCCCTCTTCATAAACACTCGTTAGATAATTGTGCATCTCTATCAGACCCTGTTTCATTGAAATCATCAGAAAAGATATAGCTGAGCCAATTAGTTATAGATCATAGCAGAATCCCAGAAAGGAGGAAAAAGTGTGGGTTTTTTTTTTTTTTTTTTTTTTTTTTTTTTTTTTTAAATG